AGCACAAGTAGGCAGAGAGGCAGGCAGAGGGAGAGGGAGAAACAGGCTCTCCGCTGAGCAGGGAGCCCGATGCGGGGCTCGATCCCAGATCCTGGGATCATGACCTGAGCAGAAGGCAGACGCTTAACCGACTGAGCCACCCAAGTGCCCAAAACTGCAAACTTCTGATAGCTCAAATATTTTGTTTCTACTTATGTGAAAGGCAGTGGGTATTTTCTTACATGGGTCAGATAAGCAAACAAGGACCAGTTATCCATGTTGTATCCACAGTCTGCAGAAATTACACAGTTATGTTCTCTTCCATGTGGACTGACCAATTTGAGCTGCTGGAAAAAGTGATACTAAAATGATACATGGATCCTGGGGACATCGCACTGGCCTGGGAAGGCCCCGCACAGCCGCTTCTATTTTTCTTTCGCTCTTTGTACTTAAATAAACTTATTTTAAGGGGCAAAAAAATAAAATAAAAAATAAAAAATAAAATAAAATGATACATGGAGTTTAAACCAAGTGAAATTACCTGATGATTACTGAGCTTTCCAGAAAGCAGAGAAACAAATGATGCGAACTGAATTTCACTTTCGCTCCTAATTTATAGGGGTATTTCTTGTTTCTTGGATAGAAATCACACTACACTCCTTCACTCTTTGGGAGTGGCGGTTAGCTGGGAAACTACAAGTTTCTAAATAGAACATGATCGACATCTAGTGGCCACAGGCAAGGCCTCTGTGTGATTTTTCTTGGCCAGGGACAGATGATGTCGCAAAAAAAGGATCTTCGGAGAAGGAAGCTGAATTCTTGAATGGCTTTCTTCTCCCTCACCCAAGGTTGACCCAATCTTGCCATTGCTTATTCCTGCAAACAAGGGGCATTCAGCTAATGCAACTAAATAACATGAACTTAATCACCTTGTGCTCCATCTTTAAGCTGTACGAAATGCCAAAGAATAAAAGAAATGAATGGTCAACTTTTTTTTTTTTTAAGTTGAATCCAATCAGGTGTTTATATTATGAACAAAGAACAACAGAGGACATTCTTCATTTCTTTTAAATTAACCTCCTGTTATTCTCCCCCATAATTGTCTGCCCAGAAGATGTAAATAAAACAACCCAGTCAGAATTGGATTTTTCCAGAATATTATTTTCCAGAATAGTCTTTAGTAGCCACTTCTGGCTGAAGGAAAGAGAAAGGAGGTAGGGATAGGCAGGGAGGATCTCAACAATGTCCCCCCGACTGCTAATCTAGTAAACAACAAAATGAAAACACCCACAAGGTGCAAGTAGGTAATATGTGTTCTCCTAGTTGGTATTAGGCATCTTATGCAATAGTACAAACATGTGCTAAAAGATCCCAGGAATTTTTGTTGGTTTGTTTTTGTGATATGGGGCAGGTTGTTTGTGTCGGTGAACATGTGTTATTTGTGTGTGGGTGTGTCTGTTGGAGGAACAGCCTACCGATTCATGGCAGGGTCACCCGATGGATTTAGACAAAGAAGTCTATTATCACAAAGGCCTTGTTGGGTCAGGGTGTTAACAGTAGCTGTTGTGTTCCCATAGCAACCTGTGGATGGGTTTAGCCAGGAAAGAACAGAGGCCCCATGCATAAATGACAGAATGATGACAGTGGTGGCTGGACTAAAGGAAGCCCAGGACGAGAGAAAAGTGTTGGAAAAAGAAATACTTACATGCCATGCACCACAGATTCTATTTTAGAATTGGTACTGCATAATTCAAAATAAGTAAGTCAAGTTCACAAGGTCAACAGAGGCAATTGGTAAATAATTGTTTATTTGATCCTAACGTTAAAGAATGGAAACATAATGTCTCGGGGAGAATTTATGGCTTAAATTGAAAAGAGAAAATGGGATAAATGAGGTTGAGGAAGCTGATTTGCTCGGGTTGCCCCTACAGAGATGAGGCTGTATCATTTGATCTAAACGAGGTGGTTATTTTTGATGTGTTTTCACTTCTCCTTCACTCACAAACCTTCTTCAGTTGAGGTAGGAAAAATGGAGGTTTTAAAAACCTGTGTTCAGTTTCCTCACTGGCCTATCTAAGATGTCTAATTGAGTTCATTAGATTAAAAAATAGGGGCGCCTGGGTGGCGCAGTCAGTTTAGCGTCTGAATCTTGATTTTGGCTCAGGTCATGACCTCAAGGTCATGAGATCGAGCCCCATGTTGGGCTCCCCATTCAGCGGAGAGTCTGAGATTCTCTCTCTCTCTCTGCCCCTCCCCCACTCCCTGCACATATGCTCCTTCCTCTCGCTCTAAAATCAATCAATCAATCAATCTGAATAAGGAAATTAAAAGTCAGAAATTTAAACAAATTAAAAATGGGTGTCCACCCCTCTATTCATGGTGATGTCCACAGTGTGTATCTCCTCAACCTTGTGAACTCCCTGGAACAGGCACTATTGAGAATGTGCCACAGAGCCAGAGAAAATGGAGGCCCTTAAAGTTACCTTAAGGAATGTGTTTAGCCCCCCAGAAAAGTAACCCCAGCAGTGGTGTGCTGGGGCCAGCTCCTGTCAGCTCACGTTGCCACATTCCTACCCCAGTGTCCTGGGGACTTCTCTATCTCTTGGGTAGCTGCCCACTAATCCTGATAAAGATCAGAATAACTAATAATGAACATCTAGAAATCTCATCACCTTCTACAAAATGGTTTTCACACCTACTTGTTAAAAGCAAGTGTTACTCTTGCCCCTGCAGTGCATGGAAACTGAGCCTTAGGGAGAACACAAAAGTTCTTTAAGGTCAAACAGTGGGTGGTCGGTGGTGTTCCAGTCTGGGTCTTCGGCCAACAAGTCCCAGGTGATAATAGCTATAGAGTCTTTCTCCTTCCAGACATACTTACATGTTAGTGGAGGACTGTAATTAGGAACCGGAAAAGCTTTTCAAAACTGAAGGATTAACTTTCCAATGTCGGGACTGTAGAAAATTTTAGATCATTATCTAGAGTGCTTTGCCCTGAAATCAGGACAGCATCCTGCCACCGCGGGTTCTCTGAGACTGGCCCTGCTCAGACAGGATGGATAGGCTGCTTGAAGGTTTTGGCGGCCTGGTTCATTTTTAACCTATCCTACAACATTCTAAATCAGTGATCCTGTTGTTAATCATTAGGTAGGACATTCTTATTAAGGGTGCTATGAATTTGTATTTGCTCCATCTCTTTATATAACCAACTGAGGCAAAGTCTTAACCAGGTCTCTGTAACAGATGAGCTTAGTTACTATCCATATGATTTATTATATTTCCAGAGGCATTCACTAATAAAACAACTCTCCTTCCCCCCTTATCCTGATCTAAGTCCAATGACTCTTCTGAACAATTCTTCATGCATATAAACCTTTTGCATCCCTAAAGAAAGAAAGGGTAGAGATGTTAAAAACAAATAACAAAAAAATAAACATAAAGGAGGAAAAGCAACTCTGGAGGGAAGTCAGGATTTTGGGGTTCAATCCTGGCTCTGCTTCCAACTAACTGTATGATCTTGGACAAGACATTTAATCAGCATCTAGGTTTTCAGATGTGGGCAAAATTGTGTTTGGATCTCTTAGTTTTACAAGTATTCAACTTACAGCCTGCCAGTAATTTATCAATAATTAATCAAACAGCCTAAACTATTTTGATTACTCTTCATTTTAATGGTGTATCTTTAGCTTTTAAGCATATGTGAATGTATCTCAGTGTGACCAGACAGAATCTATTAATTCTCCAGAAACTTTATGATCAGAAAAATACAAAGAACAGAGAATACACAAGTGACCTCAAAGCAAGGTGGTTTTCTCCTGTGTACCTAAACCATCACAGAAAACCTTAATAGAAAATGTAGTCAGTTTGTGTACTCACTGATTTTATTATTGAAAAGATACAGTCTTTCTTGTTCCCAGGATGTTTGTTTTCTAATGTGAGGGCACAACATGGTACCAAGACATTTGCTATCAGGTCATTTTGCAGGGAGGGGAAGTAGAAGGAACAGATAGGAAACAGACAGGAAAGAGAAAGGAGAGGAGTAGTGTATGATAAAAAAAAATCCTTAAAAATCTGGAAAAATACTCTGGTTCATAAAAATGTTTACTTAATGAATGCCTGCTTAAAACTAGGCAGAGTAATTTCCACAATGAAAATATATAAACATGAAAGAATATATTATATCAAGAGTCTCTAAATATTCTAAGTCCAAAAAGAAGTCCCCGACTGTAAGATTTAATGGAATAAGTTGTCTATAATATGTCTTTTTGTCTAGACATTAAACTTCTGGTAATTTCAGCTATGTTGTGCTCAACTGTAATTTTTTTTAAAAAAAATTATGATTTTAAAGAAACTAAAGAAGGTCTCTGAGCAGCTGAAAGAGCGTTCATGTAGCTCATAGCTTTATATCATGGAAGAGGCCTTCAGACTCCTATTTACTTTTTCTTTATAAAAAGTCTTACCAGGTTTCCAAACTGATGTAAGCTTCATAAGACTTCATGAGACCATTTCTTTTGTAACCCTAGTACTTAACACAAAGCTTAGTACATAGAGGGGGCTCAATAAATATTTGTTACCTAATGAGAAGATTAGAAGCAGTATGTAGTAGTTGAGGTTGTCGGAGAGATACACACAATTGAGAAAAGTGATAGTTGGTGGTCTGAAATCCATGAAAGAGTGACAAAAATCATGAAAACAAGACACAAAGCTCACTGATTCAAGGACACAGAGTTCCATACATCTACTAACCTCTAAAAGGTTATAGCATGGGTAAAAAAAAAACCCCAAACAAAACAAACCAATTGCCATTGATAATAATGATCTAGAGTCATTAGGATAATATCAAATTTGTTTAATATTCAATTTAATAAAAGTCAGGGAACCATACAGTACACTTCTAAAAGATTTTCACTGAAGAGGATTAAAATATTCAATTGGAACACTTCATCCCCTCCTATACTTGATTTCCTCTTCTAAATGTAATCTTGGTGATATGATACTGTGTACCTTAAAAAAATTCTTTGCTTCTATTCCAGGATTTCTAATTCCATGGTGTCTCTGGTAGACATAGAAAGTATGCTTCTTCTTTGTCCTTTTGAGTTATTAAGCTTCTCAGTACAGAATTTTAATATATTCCACATATCAGATCTTCCTGTTTCAGTGACAAAACAGTACAGAATTGGATCTGCAACACAATTTAAACTTGTTAATGCAACCGTGATTCTATACATTTTATAAGTCTGCTTCCCAGACTTATGGTCTTTAAAGATAAGTTCACTGAAGTTCACATCATGCTCTAAGATGCTGCGAATCAGCAGCATCACATGAAAGGGAGTAAAACACAAGACAAAAGTCAATGTGATGCTAACAAGGAGTTTTATGATTCTCTTCTTTTCACTGTTTTCTGTGGCTTGATTATGCTGCACAGCTTGGTAGACCTTCTGGTTGCAAATCATGATAATGACCAGTGGTACTGCATACCCCGTACATGTCCTAAAGAAGTTGAAATGGATTTGCCACTTCTCCAGGGGGTACTTGTCGTAGCATAACGTAAAATTAGACTTCTTGGCATCACAATATTCTATAGTTGTTTCATCTTCCCACAGAATAATACCATTGAACATGGTTTCCAATACCCAGATGGCTAGGCTGACCATGAAGGCAAATCTTCTTGTCCTTAAAAAAGAAAACCTCAAAGGGTGGACCACAGCTAAGTACCGATCAACGGCGATGCAGGTGAGGAAGGCCGTGCTGCTGTAAAAGTTCATGTACATGAAGAATGCACTCCCCTTGCACAAGGCAGGAGAGAAGGTCCAGTTGTCATTATTCCAAGTGTAATCAATCCATAGAGGGAGAGTTAATGTGTAGAGCAGATCTGAGAGTGATAAACTGAAGAGGTAAATTCCTAGCTCATTCTCCTTCTTTGCTTGCAGAAAAGACACACATAGAGATCCGATGTTGGCTGGGACACTGGCTATGACCACAAAGATGTAAATAATCGGAAATAAATAGTGATCCAGGTCGTGCTGTTCTTCAATACATGTGCTGTTCATTTTCTCGTATGAAGGTGGCAACTACATTTGCTCTCAGAAGGTAAATAGCAAGGTCAGTTTTGCCTCCTTCCAGTTTGTTTTTAACATCTTTTTTACTAAAATGTGTCCATTTTTCTTTGTTTTCAAAAGTTCTGATTCATTCATTGGTGCTTTTAAAGGGTGGATGTAGACCAATTTTCACAAAGATATCAACGGTTGGAAGTCAGAATCCAGCCTCCTGACAGTTAGCCACAATGGCCAGTGGATTTTAACGAGCAGAAGTCCACGTTCTTATTATCACAGAATGCTGATGAAGAACCCTCAGGGACCAACGGGGTCATCCCTCAGCATCCACAGAGTGTTGTCCCCATTTTGTTTTTCTTCACAAAACTCGGGAGATTGGTGCACACATGAATATAGAAGGCTTTGTTTTCACAGAGATTAACATCTCTTTTTACCATGCCTTTGTTTCTGTAATGAAAGATGAATTAGAATAGTTTAGATGTTTAGCAGATGCATCATGCTTTTGAAACAATCTTCTTTTATTTCATTTCTTGAAGATATCAAAAATGTATTAAATTACAATGAAGGTGTTTAAAGAGGGATATTATTTAATTGACTTCAGTGAATGAAATCAAGCTGAGAAATTTTACTCTATTTCAAATAAGAATTACCCACAAGGTGATAGATTAGAGGGAATTCTATTTCTCACTGGACATGATCACAAAACTAAAGTTACAACGTTAATTTCGGAGCTAATAAAAATGGCAAATGTAATGATTTGTTTGTAATCAGTAAATGCTTTTGAGTTGTATGATAAACTGTATAGTTATATGATTTCAAATGTTTAATTTTGTATGCAATCTAGGTATGAGGCACTTTCACTATCCGCTTATTAGCCAAGAAAATATTGTCACAAGAAATTTAATAAAGTGAAATATTTTAAAATATAGCAGCTTGCTAAAACTTCATAAATAATTAGACAACACTGCCTCTTTTGTTTTCCCTTTGCTTCCTTCATGGGCACTTTATCTTTCCTGTACTTTTGTGAAAGAGAGGGCAGAATATTCTTAATTCTGGGCAAAATCTTGTCATCATCAGCGTCTACCTTTGTACCTGATTGTTTATTAGCTTAGTTTTTTAAAGGTCTGATGTTATAGATTCACATAGGAACAGAGAACCCATTCTTCTCTTCATAGTAGAGTAAAGAAATACTTCTATACTTCTGTCTCTATTCCTTTGCTAGTGAGGCCTATTAGTGCTTTGGATGATTTATGTGATGGGGAGCTTCACAGGACCCTCTGTAGAGTAACTATGCAGAGAACAAAAGATTTGCCTTCTTGTTGTGTGCCTGATGACACCAAAACCACCCATTTCCAAGTATGAGTGAGCCCTGCGCACCACAGAGGCCTTGCCACCACAAGTCACAAGAGTTCTGCTAGAAGAAAAAACCATGTTCAGAGTACCTATTTATATGTCATTCTTTAAACAAAGTGGAGAACTAAAATTCCCCAAATCTTCTTGTTTTACCACACCTAGAAATATGAACAAAATGTGAAAAAACAACCTTTTAAATCAATAGGTGAAACTTCCAGAGAGGAAAAAAAAAAAAAAAAACTGTGATGGAGAAAAGGAAGTGGGAGCTGAGATCAGGAAGGTAGGTGAGCAAAAAACTCTGGATGTCCTGGAGGCATATGTGGATTGGAAGAAGTAACTAGAGCCTCTAATGCAGAGAAGCTGGAGACGGAGCTCAGACACACACAGAGGCAGGAAGTGGTTCTCTATATCCCACATGTGTGGGGATCCTGGAGCCTCTACTCTCACACAAAAGGTGAATTAGAAAAATAAACATAAGAAACAACAAACTGGACAGCTCCTTGCAGACAGCCGGGAAAGTTGGCAAGTTTCCGTGAGGAGCCATGATGAAAAATCCCTGAGTATTCATGGCTTCTGGCTGGTCCTCACTTGGGAATGGGGCCTGAGTCTACACTCTTAGTTTAGTCCTGCGATCTGCACACCAGCCATGAACTCGTGCTGAATCTATGTGCTCAACTTCGTCAGTCATCAAGGGAATTCAAACTAAAACCACAACAAGATATAACTGCACACCCTCCTGAATAAATAAAATGAAAAAGACAGAAATTACCAAGTTGTGGTGAGGATGTAGAGCGCCTGGGACTCTTATATACTGTTGGTTGGAAAATTGTTTTGACACTTACGTATACCGTGTGATTTAGCAATTCCATTTCTAGGTATATGGTCAACAGAAGTACATACAGGTGTTTACTGAAAGACGTGGGTTAGAATTAGGATATTCATAGTAGCGTTATTTGTAGTATCCCCCAAGTAGAATGAGCACTTGTAGTAGAATAGAGAAGTAAATAGATAAGTAAATTTTAACACAATTGAAATCTATACATCAATGAAAATGCACAAATTATTGCTGTGTACAATAACACAGTTGAAGCTCTGAAACATAATGCAGAGTGACAGAAAAAGGCCAGCACAAAAGAATATATACTATCTGATTAAAAAGTAGGTAAAGTTAATCTACACTGTTAGAAATCAGAGCAGGGGTCCATTTATTAAAGGCTTTCTATGTGCTAGGCACCATTTAAAATGGCATGCATATTTTTTATCATTTATGTGTTACTACAATTCTGTGCTATTTATTATAACCTTATATTACAAATAAAGAATTGAGCCACATATTAAGCCATTACCCTGGAAATACCTATTTAATCATTGGTAGAACTCTGGCCACAATCCTAGGTTGGAATGTTAAATAAAGCCTCTTGACTCTTAACCATTTTGCCTTCTGCTTTTTGCATAAAAATGCCTTAGAAAGCTGAGGTATTTTTGCAGCAATGCAGACCAGCTTTGTCGAGAAAGAAGAGAATTATTTTCTCTTTTCTACTGAAATACTAGCACCAATAGATTAGTACAAGTCTTCTAGCCATAATAACAGATCTAATTAAAGAAAATAATTTGTGAATAATCATTTCTGTAAATTGGATAGAAAGTGACCACATGTTTTCTAGAAAACATCACTTGCATATTGTCTGTTAGACTACACAGGCTTCAAATAAACTTGTAAAAATCATCATCTCACATCATGTCCTCACACTTAGTAACAATGTGTTGTTATGTGCCCATAGATTTCTTTTCTATAATGGATAATGTATCGGATTTACTTAGACAGGCTCTAATTTTTCCTGCACTTGATTTGAGAAATAGATGGCTAAAAGGAGCATATATCCTGCTACCACACTCAAAACAATTTCCCAGTTCTTAAGATTCATGAGGCTGAGCTTCGAAGAGTCTATTGTTGATTTCAGGAATCCTCTGTGAACTATTTCAAGTTGAAATTAATTATCTTTCACCACTCATAATGTGGTAAGGAAGAAAATGTAGATAAGACCGACTGTGAGATTGATATATATGTAGCATGATATGTCTGCATTGTTGCAAAAATCATGTGTGGTTGAAGCCTGCATCTATCTTGCCAGTCCAGATGCAAGAATCAACCCTACCCAGAGGGGCGCCTGGGTGGCTCAGGGTCCTGGGATGGAGCTCCGCATCAGGTTCCCTGCTTAGTGGGGAGTTTGCTTCTCCCTCTCCCTCTACACTTCCCCCGCTCGTGCTCTCTCTCTCTTCCTCTCTCTCGCTCACTCTCTCTCTCTCAAATAAATAAATAAAATCTTAAAGAAAAAGAATGAACCCTAGAGATTATACTACCTGTGGGCATGGCTGGGCCCGCCAGGGAGCCTGTAGGAATGCAACCCCATTAGCTTACAAGTAGTTAATCAGCACTACCTTAAATATATAATTACTAAATTTACCAAATGAAATCTCTAACAGAAGGAATAAAGATGTTTTTCAGAATCTAAGTCTCCTGAGATGGAAAAGACCTTCAGGGGGCCAGATGAAGCAGGATCAGAGCACCTGTTAACATGACCTCATGGACCTCCACTCAGTAGGGTCCGCCTTTGGGGCCCCTGGGTGGCTCAGTGGGTTAAGCATCTGCCTTCAGTTCACGTCATGATCTCAGGGTTCTGGGACTGAGCCCCACGTCGGGCTCCTTGCTCAGCGGGGAGTCTGCTTCTCCCTCTCCCTCTCCCCCCGCCCACTGCTCACTCTCTCTCTCTCAAATAATAAATAAAATCTTAAAAAACAAAACAAAACAGGGCGCCTGGGTGGCTCAGTTTGTTAAGCGACTGCCTTCGGCTCAGGTCATGATCCCGGAGTCCTGGAATCGAGTCCCACATGGGGCTCCTGGCTGAGCGGGGAGCCTGCTTCTCCCTCTCACTCCCTCCCCTCTCATGCTGTTTCTCTCTCTCTCTCTCTCAAAATAAATAAATAAATAAATAAATAAATAAATAAATAAATAAAATCTTTAAAAACAAAAACAAAACAAAACAGTGTCCACCTTCTCAGGAGACCTCTGCTAGCATGATCTCATGGGCCTCCACTCAATGATACCCACTTCCTCAAAGACCCCTGCCCCAAATTTTACCCTTCAGAGCCCTCACTTGCCAGCCACTGGGGAGCTCAGGACTCTAGAGTATTAGCTCCTCATTCTTCTGGGTGGTGCCACACTAATAAATACCCTACCTTTCTTCACTGCAAAACTCAGTGACAGTTTTAATTGGCTTGCTGCACATTAGGTGGACAAACCCTTGTTTAATTTGTTTATAAAGTATCATATTAAACATTTAAATATCAGAAAAAAAAAGAAGTCAGGTAGTGGTTACTTTGGGGGAGGGGCCGGGTAATGACTGGAAAAGGGCCTGAGGGGGACTTCTGAGAATTTGTCATATTCTGGTTTTGCTCTGAGTGTTCATTCCATGAACGTGTTCAGTTTGTAGACATTCATCAAGCTGTACACTTAGGACATGTGCATTTTTCTGCGTGTATGTTATATTGCAATTACAAAGTTAGAAAGTAGAATCAAAGACTCTGTGGGATGAGCTATAAAGAATCTTGACAGCCAACCGTCATCTAAATTACCTGCAGATGGA